AAAAGCAAAAACTGAAAGAATTTATTAACACCAAGACTGTAAGAGAGAAACCCTGAAGGAGTTATTACAAAGTACCATAATAATGAATATTGAGGCAAAACAAAACAAAAAACCCAAAATTACTTAACATGGAGAAGAGATGAAGGAGAGGAACAACCAGTCAGAAACCAGACCCTCAAACAGGTCACACAAATACACGAACCTCAGTCATCAAATTAACAAACAAAAAATAATAAAAGTAACACCTTACATGACAGAAAGAGAACCTAAACAAAACATAAAAGGAAGCCCTTAAAATAAAGATAAACCAATCCAAAAAAACAAAAAACAAAACACACCAAAACCAAAATATCTCAATAATCACCTTAATAGTAAGGTGGCTTAAATCCAGTCCTTTCAAAAGTTGCAGAGGACTCTCCCTGGTGGCCTAGGGGTTAAGGGCTGTAACTGTTACTGCCTAAGGAAGGGTACTGCTCATCAGGGGCTAGTTTAATACTAAATATCTCTTGAAGACCCACAATAGAGCAGTCAAGCAGTTCTCCCCTGCCTCAAACTGAAAGTGGCTTCACTCAGCTTTTAGAATAGTTTGAAAATATTCATATATGTGGTCCCAATTTCCTTCTCCAGCCAGATGGTGCTACTCAGTAATGTTGAGTGCCATGCTCTCTCATCTCCAGACCTGTATACAGTGTATACGCCAACAACACTTGTCTCACCTGACCCACTCACAGCCCACTTACTTAGCTCTCTGTGAACTCTCACCTCTCTGGTATTAGGTTGGGAATTCCTTCTATGTGTTTCCACACCCACCTGATATTAGCCCAATGTTAGTACTTATCATACTGTATTCTCACTCTTTGCTTGTGGTTTGGTAGACAGGAAGCTCTTTAGACAAGGAACACACTTCACTATTATATTTCTAGGATCTAACAAAATCTAAATTTTGCTAAGTGAATTAGTGAGAGACATTAAAAGAAAAACCAATTTTTTTTTGTTTTTGCTAAACATGAGCACTTTTCTACATAAAAAAGCCTACCATTAACATCAATATTTTGAGTTAAAATAGCAAGATCATCAAATGACTTAAATAACATCCTGCAGTAGGATCTGAGTAGAAATTAATTATGCCTATCTTGCTATGTATTTGCGCCCAGGGATAGTATTTCTACCAGAGTTCAGAAAATGGTAGATATAGTAATATAATAAGTACAGAATAGCTTGAATTTTTGAATGAATGAACGTATGCAAAGTCTTTACTACCTTAAAATCTTTTTCACTGGTTTTAATAGGGTAGACCAAAGACAAGAGTCCATTTATCAGAGAAAATATTTCTGATAGTAATCAGCACCTGACCAGCCCAATTAATCTGACCCTTCTGCCTGTCAAGATTCAGTCATTCCATGGAGGACTCTCATGTCCTTCATAGCTGTCTCTAAGTCTGGAGATTGATTCATAAATATTGGAAGAACTCATGTCTTCTTGTAGCCAGCTCTAAGACAGGGATGCCCAAGTAGTTTTTTTGTTTTCCTATTGTTTCTTTTAAAATCTGTAACATTATACAATGTTATATATTATATTATAAAACTAAACCCAAAAGTTATCAATGCAGCAGTCATTTTACCTGAAACCTATCAATAATTTCAATAAAGGTACAGCTAAAATTTGCTAAAACAAAATGGTATTTACCATGAAGTCATTGCCAAGCTTGTACTCTCCAATGCCATAATTGTAAGTCAGTTCTGCAACAAAATGATCATCCTCAGGTCCAAATCCCACCATTGTTTTACTCCACTTCCCATCATAAGGTCTAAAAATGAAAGTAAATGAACCCAGTGACCAAAGAGAATATGCTCCCCTAAAATACTGGATAGAGAGAGGTGGGTAGTCCCTTCTGGTCCTTAAAGTCCCCAAAACACGAGATATGCTCAGGTGGTGCTGAGGATGGCTGTGGACAATGGTATGGAGCCATTACCAAAGCTCCAAAGACCATCTGTTTGGCACTTACTTGGGGGAAAGGTTCACTTTCCTTGCCTCTAAAACAAGAAACAGAGTCCTACATACTCTGATTTTTCTTATTTATTTATTTATTTTTTCCACCTAGAAGTATGCAATTCCCGTCAAGCCTTGGGATTTTTCAGTTCGTTGTGGCTACTAAGCTAAAGAAATGTTAATAAGACATTGCTTCATCCAGACCATATACTAATTTGTGTTCCTAAAGTTGTGCCCTGATTACACCCACCTTAATTTATTCTACTGCTTTCCACTCTGAGAAACTGCCTTCTGTTTTTTAGAGACTAACGGAGGTTTTAAGAAACAAGGCACCATACCCATTACAGGCAGCTTTGCAGCCTTCTTCAAATTCTTCATGCCGTAGAATCTGATAAGGAAATCAGAATAAACTGTAAAACTTTACTAGTATTGACACAGAATAGCAAATAGCATATTTAGCACAACCCAAAATAAATACATTATCATTTATAAGATTGACTTGTAAAACAAAAGAAAATTGAGTTTTGTATCTTTCCCAGGCTAGCAGTAGTAGAGATAAAGAACAGGTTAATACTAAAGGCCAGGGAACTACATAAATTGTGATGTCTATTTAGATTGGGAAGCAGGAGCGATATATCAGAAAAAGTGTGGTCTCCAGTAATAGAGAAGTCTGACTTGGAATTCTGACTGTCCTGGGTAATTGTGTTACTCTGAGAAAGCTGCTTAGGGTCATTTAATATGCTATGAAAATAGGTGATTTATTAAAGTGTCCAAAACAGAACCTAGTAAAGTAGGCTCTCAATGTGCTAGTTTCTACTTTTCTTTTTGATTTCCACTATTACTGTTCTAGTACAATCTTCTACCAGTTCTCTCACAGACTATAAAAAAAAAAAGTCTTTATTAAATCTCCTTCCTTAATAACACCATAAATTATGTCCTTAAAGTTTTGATCACATCACTGCCCTGTGTAAAAGCAAAAGAGGCCTCTTATGATTGCTTACTTACTGTGGCATAAAGTCCAAATTCCTTGGTATAGTATTTCACATACTATCAGAAGTAGTATCTTCAACCAATCCAACCTACTGGTCCTGATGTCCCATATCTTTCAACCTCAACTAAGTAAGTTATGTTAAAGGAACATAAAACTAGTAGTGTTTCTTAAACATACATTATTTTTGTATTGGCTATTCAGTTTTTCTAGTATAGTCCTGCCTCTAATCTTGGCCACTGGAAATACTATTTTTTTTAAAAGATTTATTTATGTATGCATACAGAACTAGGGTACAGGCCAGAGGTGCAGGGGCGGTGAGAGGATTCACCAGAGACAGAGTGGGAGCTGAACAGGTAGATTGACTAAGTACATTGCTGAGGGGAGCAGGGGGCCAGACAGTGGAGTTCTGCTGTGCCATGCGGATCATCCGGATCATCCACACGCCCAGGATTGAATTCGCATTGAAGCAGCTGTGGCTAGCTTGCAGTGCTACACTTTAAACCGTGGCACCATCAGGGAGGGCCGGAAATACTATCTTTAGAGGTCAATGCAAATGCAATGAATTATCCATGAATTATTTCCTGACAACCGAGATTTGAGTTAAATGTCTCCTGTTGTTGAAAGTCGCTAACACTTATATAATACATGTGACATGTCAAACACTACCTCTGGCTTAATCCTCATAAGGCTTTAATCAATGAGGAAACGAATTAAGGGCGAGCTTTGAGGTTTTGTTATAATTTATCCAATTTCCACCTGCAGAAACTTTAACTGAGGACAGGTACTAGAGTTATTTTTCTTTTTGTCCCCAAAGCTCAACGCAGTACCGTGAAATATGGACCATATTTTAAAAGTGATTTCAGGTAACTCCTTTTGCACTCCCTGTCCCCTACACTGTCTCTATATTTCACTTCACTCTTGTATCTCTAAAAGCCCTTGCTTAGTAGGAGCAACCCAATAGTTTCAACTTGGGTTTACTACCCGCGTGAACCCTACAGAATCACACAGCTACTCAGAACTGCTTCCAGGTGTTGGAGCGGTAAACGGTAGACCTCCAATTTAGTATGAATTGTAGAGAATAGAGAGTCGGAGCATAAACCCAGAGAGTAGTATCCAAGAGACCATACAAACCAACCCTGACAGCGAAACTTTGAATAAACCAATTAATGAGACCGAAAGGCTCCAAACCAGAAGTCTGAGTTATTATTAATTAGACAAGTATTACATAACGTCTTGCTTACTATCCTTGAGTGTCTGTAAACTCCCCAGGGTCAGGAGCTCAATAAATATGTTCAGTAAATGAATGGGCACACAGTGGCGACTAGTAACTATCTAACTCAAAGAGCGACTCAAAACCCTTCCTGAAGCTAAAAATCTTCGTTCTGAGACCAACGTCGGACACTCAGGTTCCGCCTGAGATCACGACACACCCCATTTCTCCCCTCCCTCGGCCGCTGCGGCTCTCGCCACCCTCGCGCGCCAGGGGTGGCGCCCTCTCGGCCCCACAAACACCTTCATTCCCAGGATATCACGGTAGAAACGTGCGGTCTGGAAGCGGTTTCCCACTTTGAATACAAAATGCAGAGCTCGGCGAACAGCGGTAGCCACCATGATTTCACACCACTCACGACTGCAGCGTCGAGGTGACGCATCGGTCAGTGGCGTCACTAGTCGCGGTCGGCGCGCTTCCGTGACGTAGCCGACGCGCGGGGGAAGATGGCGGCACTAGTGAGAGGCCCTGGCTTGGTCGAGCGCCGGTTGCTGCCCGTCTTCCAGATTTGGGACATTGACTCGCGGCGGTGGGTCCGGGCCCTGCGGCGGAGCCCCGTGAAAGTACTGTTTCCGTCGGGACAGGTGGAGGAACGGAAGCCCGGGCCTGGGAAGCAGCCCCGGAAGGCGGCTGAGATCCGTTCCCACGAGCAACGACCGAAGCAGCCACTTCAAAAGCACCCATTCCAGGCGCCCAGCACCTGGGAAGACTTGGGGCTTCGCTACGATAAGGCTTTACCCGGCGACAGGAGGCTGAGGTGATGTGTTCCTGAGGTTTGATAAGTAGTATTTCCACTTTTCTTCCCTCTTAAAGCGGGACTTTTAACAACCTTCCCTCCGGATGAAGGACCTCATCCAATACAACCCGCTGCTTTTGATTATTCAGATTAAGTACAAAAAGGGAGTTCTTGAAATTGGCTTTCTACGTCTGTGAAGCCCTAGAATTTCTGTGTCTGCTAGAACTAGATATGCTACCATTAGGATGTTAGTAATTACCCGTCTTTTTGTTCTTTCCTACAGCACCGTGATGACAATTGTTAAGTCCAGGCCTTTTCGGGAAAAGCATGGGAAGATTCTGTTGGAAGGTCGCAGGCTGATTGCAGACGCACTCAAGGCTGGTGCCGTGCCACAGATTTTCTTCTTTAGCCGTCTGGAATATATAAAGGAGCTGCCAGTTGACAAGCTGAAAGGTGTCAGCCTCATTAAGGTGAAATTTGAGGATATCAAGGACTGGTCGGACCTAGTAACACCACAAGGAATAATTGGTCAGTGGTTATACAGTATATCACTAGAAGCAGAGACCTGGCTGAGGACAACATATTTTATCTAAATCAAAATCAAATTATTATTGACAAATCTTTTATCAACACACTAAAAAAAAAAAAACCAAACAAACTCCAGCATTCTCAAATTGTGCTTTTTATATTGTCAGGAGTAACCGAGGCCAGCTTTCACGTGTTTATTATGGCTTTTGTAATTTCTGGGAATAACTGCTGTTCATCACACATTGGTTTGTTTGTTTGCCTGTTTTTAGGCCATTTCATCGACCTTTAATGCCAAGTTAAGAAAATGTCTACTAAAAGATGTAGCCTTCCATTCCCTCAAAACTTGTGTTGTTGTTGTGATACTACTATAGTTATGCAGTGTAGTGAGTGGCAGTGTATTGCCCTGTTCAGCAGCCTATTGAGAAGGAAAGCTTGTCTTCTGGAGTTTGTTTCTTCATTTGGTTGAATCTAACTTAAGGTTTTCTGTAATCATGTCACTGAGCACTTTGACTTTTTATCCAAACATGGGTAAATTTATGTCTTCTTGACTTTGGAGTTATACTTGAGCTCAACAGTGAGTTACTGTAAGTTTAGTTTCTCTTGATAATAAGGCACAGTTGGACCAGAGGGGTTATCTAAAGTTAAAGCTAGGTTCTTTTATACCAGTTATGTACATGTATTCTCAGGGGTCATTGCAGCTAATAGTTGGACCAAGAAAATTTGGGGAGCCATCTCCTGTTTCTGTAAAACCCAGTAAGCCACAAGACTCTACCTCTATACTTAGGACCTCTATACTCCTAAGAAGAAAAAAAAAGAATTCTTCTAGGGTGGGAGCTTGGACTGCTGAGTATCTTTATGCTCATGAATTGTACCTCTTTAGTTTCTACCCCACGCCACAGTGGAAGTGTGACTCAATTTTACTGTTTGCTGCTTTTGAGCATGTGTGCTAACAGTGACCAGCCCATCTTGGACTTCTGAAGTCCCTTTATCACTACTGTTTTCATCATTTCATGCTTCTTAAAAACATATATTATTCAACTTGCCATGTTTTATTTCACATTGGAGAAGGGTAAAGGGAGAAATAAGTAAGGTCAGATTTCAGAGACATCTTTCAAGCCCAGTAATTTAAGTGGGGCCCCCAGAAGTAATAAGTTCTTATCACCATGGCTGTTTAAGTAGGAGTGAAAGGATTTCTAAGGTCCCCTGCACCACTGGCTGGTCTTGTGGCTGTGACTCTTTAAGTACAAGATCTTATAGTACATAGTTACCTAATACCATTCCATTGCTTCATTAATGGATTAGGTACTAGAATTTATCTATTGTTGGTTGGAGTGAATAATCTGAGATAGCCAAGGGGTAGGAGTGGGGGAGTGGCAGTTTGGCAGTATATGTTACAAAATGAAGAATTATTCCACATATCCATTTCACATAACTGTTTATCCTCAGGAAGTATTTTGATCTACGCACTCATACAGTGGTGTTCATTGCAGTATTTTTTAAAATAGGGAAAACAAAATAATCTAAATGTCAGACCTTGGAGAGGAACCAAATAATTGAAATAAGGTAGCTCCAAATGTGTTGATATGGTAAATTCTCCAACACATTTGGTGTTCATGGGTATTAAATAATTAGATTATGGAATAATGCATAGGGTGTGATTTTTTTTTTTAATAGAAAAGGAAAAAACATCTATGTATAGGTAAATATATGTAATTTAGATGAATGGAACATGTTCTGAAAGTTTGAAAAAAGTTTGAAACTTGTTTTTTTTGAAAGGCTCACTGCTAAGACTTTCTGTTATATGATTTTTTTTTTAATCAGACCGTTTTCATGTTATAATACAGCAAGAATGACAAATAAATGAAAAGTCAAATTATTCCCACGTCAGCATCAAACAATTGAAGTAACTGTTTTGTTTCCTCAGGGATTTTTGCCAAGCCCGATCATGTTAAGATGACATACCCAGAGACTCAGCTTCATCATTCACTGCCCTTATTGTTGATTTGTGACAATCTCCGTGACCCTGGGAACCTGGGGACGATTCTGAGATCGGCTGCTGGGGCAGGCTGCAGCAAGGTGTTACTCACCAAAGGTAAGGGTGCCTGTTACTGAGTGGACGGTGGCCATTTTTAAATGACCTGGCTCACTTAAATCTTACATCTGGCCTTTATTAGCTGTAGGTTTGTGCACAAATTCTGAGTGTCCAGTTTGCTCATCTGTAAAGTGGGCATAACAGAATCTACCTGGTAGGGTTGTTTTGGGATTGAGATGCACATTTAGACTTAGCATTCTGCCGGGTATACACTAAGTAATTCAGGAAAGGTTCACTTTTTAAAATTATTTTGATAACTGCTAAGTTATTTTTTAAAAAATTAAAGTCAATCAGGGAAAGAATAGATGGGAGTTTGAACACTAGGTTTCATTGGGTTTGTAGGGATCTTGTTGGGCTTGTGAGATCTTTGTTGTAAGGGCCTTGATATTTTGGGGGCCCACCCTGGCAGCACAGCAGGTTAAAATGCAGCAGTATGAAGCCAGCCACAACCACTGCAGCCGTGTTTCAAGCCGGGCCAAGGAGCTGACCTACATCACATGGCAGGCCTCTCCTGTCTCACCCACTGCTCTCCTCAGCCATGTATTTTGGTAAATCTGCCTGTTCTGCTCCCTATTCTGTCTCTGGTGAATCCTCTTACTCTGCCCCCCACACCTCTGGCCTGTACCCCAGTTCTTGTACGCATGAATGAAGAAAATCTTTTTTTTTTTTTTAAGGTCTTGATATTTTGAATCCCATTTTTGCATCCCATGAAAGGAATCATGCCTAAGTGTGGTTATGAAGTTGTGATCCATTTTCCTTAACTTGAGGATTGATTAAATACTCCACAAGCAAATTAGCCTGTCTTCTCTCATTAGAAATTGGGATTAGTTCGGTTTACTTGCCTCATTGTTGGGACATGTTTAAAATGCTCTTACAACTCTGAGGGGTGGGAAAAAAGTATCATTCGTTAGAAACCTTGAAACAACTTCAGAGCTTAAATTAATAGCAAATTAATATGGCACCCCTTTCCCTGAGACTTGCCTAAATTGTTCCTCTTTTTTTTTTTTTAAGGTTTATTTATGCATACAGAACTGGGGTTCAGCCAGAGATTTGCAGGGATTATGAAGATTCACCAGAGATAGAGTTAGGAGCAAAAAAGACAGATCAACCAAGTACACTGCTGAGGGGAGCAGCGGGCAGGTCAGAAGAGGTTTGCTGCACCATGTGGGTCAGCTCCCTGCTTGGGGATTGAATTCATGCTGCAATAGCTGCAGATAGCTCCATAGTGCTATGCTTTAACCCACTGTGCCACCAAGGAGGGCCAGCAAGTCACTTTTGCTGGCCTCTATGCAGTGTGAAAGGCAGGCCTGTGTGTGTGTGTGTGTATAAGTATAAAAGAGAGACAATGAAAAGGGTGTTGCCTTGTTTCTGGTTCTTGTCATCCCCTAGATTATTATAATTGCCTCATCACTGGCATCTTCCCTGCTCCACTCCAAGCCAAACTAGTCTTTCATAAATTTAAACCATATTCTCTTCATCACGGTGTTTCAGACCCTTCATTGTCATACTCAGGCTTTAACTTTGGTATTGCCTACTGTGGGTCTCATCTCCTGTTACATCTTCACCCATTTATTGATCTGATCACATTACTTACAGTTCTTGAACTGTGGCTCTCTTCTCTCTGTAACTTTTCCTCTGCCTGAGCCAGCTCAGTGTGATGTTCTCTGGGATGTTTTTCCTGTGGCCAGTGCTACTGCCCCCTATACAAAGAGCTTCTTGTCAATGGGGACTTTGATGCTCTTTACATCTTCTGTACAAAGTCCGGCACTGGTGTATGGTAAACGAGTAAAATCTGTGTCGGCACTAGGAGGCATTATTCCTAAGGTCCCTGTGACCAGATTGTTAATTGGAGAGGCTTAGCAGGTCCCCGCTGTCAAGAAGGCTACAGCAGACATATTTTGCTTTATCTCTTGATTCAGAATTCATCTGATTTACATCCCCATCTCTTTGGGAAGGCTTGAAGTCTTGACTAGATCCTGTCTTTTATTTTCTAGGCTGTGTGGATGCCTGGGAACCCAAAGTGCTGCGGGCTGGAATGGGTGCACATTTCCAAGTCCCCGTCATCAACAACCTGGACTGGGAAACACTGCCTGACCACCTGCCCCCTGACACCCGGGTCTACGTGGCTGACAACTGTGGCCTGTATGCCCAGGCCAGGATGTCTGACAAAGCTAGTGACCCCAGCCGACATCTCTTGAAATTTCACAAATATGAGGAGGAAGCAGAGGAGGAGGATTTAGAAACTGAAGACAAAGGCTGGCTGCCTGAACTTGAGGTCCAGAGTTATGATGTGGACTGGACAGAGGCACCAGCAGCTGTGGTGATCGGTGGGGAGACTCATGGTGTGAGCCTGGAGTCCCTGCAGTTGGCGGAGAGCACGGGGGGCAGGAGGCTGCTGATCCCCGTGGTGCCTGGTGTGGACAGCCTCAACTCCGCCATGGCTGCAAGCATCCTGCTTTTTGAAGGGAAAAGACAACTGCGGATTAGGGCAGAACACTTCAGTAGGGACAGGAGTTACCACTGACAGCGACATGCAAGTCAGTCCTTGAGGCTCAGATTGTCTTCCAGCTCCTTCTCCATTGTCAGGGGCTGACAGTCAGTACTGACTTCCTCGGGCCGTGTTCAGGAGGCAGGCACGACACCATGATGTTGTTACTGGAAAAGTAAGAATTTTCAGGAATTTCTGCTTATCCTCAAAAAATAAGAAAGGTCAGATTTCTTGCCAAGATTTTCTACCTCCCCACCAGTTCTTAGTTTTACGCACACATTTTTTTTTTTAATGGCAACAACAAAAATCTTCACGTCTTTATATGCATACTATGTTTTTAGAAATGGTGTAGTAGGATTTTTGTTTCCAGGGTGTCCCTGAAGGCGTCACCATGGGAAGACTTGTTTCTTTTGAGTGTGTTGTAGTCATCAAGTACTGGGTATGGGTTAGGCCCACTTGCTTGCTTCTGACGATGGATCGATGGAAAATAAATTGTGGAGATCAGAAATTACATTAAAAAGCTATATTTCACTGTCATCAGTGGATCTCAGCACCTGTCTTGTTATGTTTGGCCCAGTGATGTCACTGCTAAGAGATGAGTGATGCTAAGCATGATAGCATTCAGAGCCAGCAATTCTTACAACTGTCTGTGTCCATCTCTGATTATTCTTCAGCATGCAAGCTTTGGCTTAAATTGTCACTATTGTGTGTATCACCCAATTTCCCGCCTTCCTGGTGAAACAGTTTAATTCCTCAGGTGATGTTACATTATTTAGCACTTCTAGAGGGTCTTTTAAAGAACTCTTTGTTCAGAAAAGGAATTTTTAAATCTTCAATTTAATCCTGCACTTTCCTCAGTAAAAGTGTATACTTTTTACTAGCTCGAGTTACTTTTTTCCATTAATCATGCCTCCTGAAGATAGAAACAGACTCTTAGGGAAATGCCAGTGCTCCTGGGTTGCATGTGAGCAGAGGGCTCCCTCCAGAGGGTGAGGCTGAGGCTCTGAGGATGAAGGCTTGTGGTCTTTAGGCCCCAACAGTGCAGCAAGACCCTGCCCCCCCCCCCAACTCCCTAAGGGACCAGGGCAAGGTGGGTCCAGGCTTTGGTGGTGCCCTGGGACATAGCCAGAGCTATGATGGCAAATGCAGGTAGTGATCACTGTGTTTACGACCCACTGTGGAAGAGGGTGGTAGGACTGCTGGAACTTAGTGCAAACAGTGCTTGTTGCCACCCTAGAGAGGACAGTGATAGCAGCACACAGTCGGTCGCATGCCGTCTGCCCAGCAGTGCTGTAGTGCATGACGTCAGCAGCTCATTCCAGGGACGTCCAGTTTGCTGCCTGTGTGCTCAGGAGAAATCATGGCTATTTTTCTTCCCCCGAGACTTCCTCAGCTCACTAGTAAAATTTCCTTTTGAGAAAACCAAAGTCAAGTGTGGTTTTACTCTGGCATGACTAAACGGATGAATCTGCTGGTTGGCCTTGCCCTGGGCACCATGTGTTTGATACAAGTGGCCCACAGATTATTTTTGAGACTATCCCTGTCAGCTCTCAGAAGGTAGGAGAGTACATAGCCTTTTTAGGGCTTTGAGTCCACAAAGGCTGGGGCCTAGTTGGTCAGCCTCAGAGACACAAGCCTGTCACACCAGCTGGCTGATGCAGGGAAGCTACCGCTCAAGTCTACTGACATTCAGCCCCTCAACACCTTGGAAAAGGGCTAAAGAAACAAGTCACTAAAAAGAAGCCCCTACTTTTCCAGCAGGAAACCAGTCTCCTGCAATCTTTGTACCTGGGTTCTCCTTGATTTTTGTTACAAAAATAAAAAATCAGTGAAAGGGTAACAAACTCTATAAACCAAATCCCGGTTTAGAAAAAGTGCAAAACAAAATACACGGCAATTCTATTTTATTATCATCCTAGGTGTAAGAAGAAAAATTTACTTCTTACCCACTTCACAGCCAGTGGCCAGACACCATGGGCTGTGTTACTGTAGGTATAATTTGACAGATGGCAAATTTTCCTTTCTTTAAAATGAGTACAGGGGCCTTTCCTGGTGGTACAATGGGTTGAAGCACAATGCTATGAAGTTAGCCCTAGCCACTGCAGTAAATTTGATCCCTGGCCCTGGAGGTGACCCACATGGCATGGCAGACTTCTCCAGACACGCTCGCTGCTCCCCTCAGCATTGTATTTCAGTCAGTTTTCCATGTTCTGCTCCCCACTGTCTCGTGAATCCTCCCCGCCCCTGTACCACTGGCCTTACCTCAATTCTGAATGCATAAATAAGTAAAAAATGACTAAGAGGGGAAGAAAGTATCAGTGACACTGGAAACTCACTGTCTTGAATTCTCTACTATTAGGCTAACATTTGTTCTGACACCATTTCCCTAGGAAATAGGAGTAAATACTCCACAATATATAACAAGCAGACACTGCCTGAAAAACTCAAAAGGTTTGGCCAGGCTGCTCGTTTGCCTTTGTTTTAGGGGGTGCTGCAGTGTGGTTTCTACCACCAGGTGGCAGCCATGCTTCAACCACTTCCCACCCTGAAGAGAGGTGGGGATTTTTCCAGGATTTACTGAAAAATAAGTTGGAGTCTAAAGACTCCCTCCACTACAGAGGGCATTTTGCAAACCAGTTGTACTCAAAAGTGCTGCAGTTGGAGACCCATCCAGAGTGTCACTTATTTTTCAGCAGAACCTGAAGTACAGGATACTGAACCAAAAAATCAAAGAGGAAATGGGGAGTGGCTGCAACAGAAATACCACTGACCCCTCAGAATAGAGCCCCAGAGAACGCGGCGCTGGGCAAATGCTGATGCCCCACCACTGTCTTACTCTTCACTTGAAGCTTCAGGCTCCCGGGAGCTGAAACCTCCCGACCCGTCCCCTACTCACAGCTCTTGCTCCAGATTAGGATCAAGGGACTTCCCAGGACTAGTTTAACCGCAGACCTTCTACCACTTGCCCCAGGTTAATAGCAACAGCAGATGTCATCATCATCCAAGCTGAGCTGCTCTCTGCTCTTAGTTCCACTTGACATTCTGCCATATGGATGATTCTGGAAGTCTGGGTGAATCCCCTCCATCTTGTGGAAAAATCTCCCTAGATTAAGAATTAGGACTAAATGGAATTAAATTGTAACCACCCTATGTTTCCCCTTTCCAGCTATCACCTCCTTGTGATTAACCTTTAACTATTTTTCATTTTAATGTTTTTTCCTCCAGCTGCATTTCTGGGAGCTTGAATAATTGTGTTCTATCTCTTAACAAAAATTCCCTGTGCCCTCTGAGGTTCATAGTAACATCAGAAGCGAACATGCTGACTATTGCCAGGTGATGTCCCTGAAGAGACACTTACTCCCTGCTGAAAGCCAAAAGCTATGACTTACCATGCCCAGGCTGCCCGGCACCCCCTTGGGCCAGAGGTGAATCCCCCACTCCCTTCCCATCCCTTGTGCCCACATCTTCCTCCATCTTATACAATCACAGCACCACTGCCTTTCAGAGCTGGCTCTTAGGATGTCAATTCTACTGACTCCCTTGGTGGCTAATTCGAATCAACTCCTTTGTTAAGATGCTCCTGGTTCAGTTGGCTTTTTGGGTGGTGAGCAACAGCCCAGTTTGGTCACTGGAGGCAGGGATCCTTGACATATGCTGAGAACCAGCTGTGTAGCAGGACCGGAGGCTCCCTCCTGACCAGCTGTAGGCAAGACCTGACTGGTTGCCCCTTAAAGTTGTTTGTTTGTTTTTAACAGGCTCCTTTAAACCAATGTCTTCTATTTTCATCATTGCATGCACTAAGATGAAGCTAAACTCGTAGAGGAGCTGACTGACTGCTCTAAGTCTCTGAACTGGTGGCCGTATTACATTGGAGCAGCTGAGAGAGCAGCTGCATGTAGAGTCCTTGTCGAAAACCTCAGGAAGATGCTCAAAGACCAAGTATAACGGAAAAGCTGAATGTATTACAAGATGGTGCCAGTTTTGTTCTTATGTTTGCTTTGTAGGGAACAGTCACTCTTTTCAACTAAAGTCACATAGTTGAAGAAGGCCATCACCAAAGCTGCTACTGCTTCAAATTGCAGGAAGAGGGCCCTCCCTGGTGGCTCAGTGGGTTAAAGTGCAGCACTTTGAAGCTATCCGTAGTCACTGCAGCACGAGTTCCATCTCTGGCCAGGGAGCTGACCCGCATGGCACAGACCTCTCCTGTCTTGACCCTGCTCCCCTCAGCGGTGTATTTCAGTCAATCTGCCTGTTCTGCTCCCCACTCTATCTCTGGTGAATCCTCTCACCCCCTGCACCTCTGGGTCTGTACTCCAGTTCTTGTATGCATCTATATATCTATATAGATCTAGATATGAAAAAAAAATTGCAAGAAGTAGACAAAGATTGGGAAGGAGACATGGCTCCAGCTATGCCTGACCTCCCAGTTTCCCTTGTGCCTCAGTGATAGGAAAAGGGACCCGAACTGACTGAGATGATGATGATGATGATGATGATGATTTGGTCCTGGGTTCTAACATGCCTCCTGCTATACCCTAGCTCTGGCCCAGGTGGATGACTGACTTGTGTGAGGTGTGAGCACCCAGGAATCCATACTTGAGACTGTCTGCCTCCTCTGTGTGGCACTCTGGCAGGGTCAGAGGCTGTCATGAGTTGCCACATTATTTAATGGAAATCCACCAGTCTCCCTCAAAACAAGTCCTACCCAAACCTAAAGTCACCTCTTGGCATGGGAAGTTTTCCCAAACACCAAGAGGTTAACATGCTTAAACCTTCAACAATGATGCTTATTAACATCATGCTTCCACGTTTAAGAGCATTTAGAACATGCTTATGTTACATCCCTCCATCAAAAGGGAAAATCCTGCCATGAAGTAGAGCCAACATAATATTTTCCTATATACGAGCCTTTTATTTCCTAGAAAATAGGTCGTTCTTTGCAATGCTCCATGAACACTAATCATGAAACTAACACAAAACAGCCATTTATCCCAAGAGCTTTCTCTTGAGCAGCCTGCTCACAGGACAGCAGGCATCTCTCTTGGTCTCACCAAAGAGGGTTGTAAGCGCACTTCGACACTACTACTTCAGGGTGACCATGAAAATCCCCCTGAACTCTGTGTCTTTTTGAGTCTCAGATCACACAGCAGCACCAGGGAGAAGCTGCAGAGGGCACTGCTGAGCCTCCCCACAATTCTCGCTGCTTGCTTTCAGGTCTTAGGGGGCAAGCAGGGGCTTGCCTGAGCTGCGGGACAATGGCAGTGAACAGAAGGTGTGCGGCTCTGTGCCCATGACTGCAGGAGCCTGTGCCACACAGCGCTCAGGTCCCCTGCTCTACAATTCCAAGTGTGCGGGGCCTCTGCACGGTGTGTGGCACCCGGGGCTTCCCCCCTAGCTGACAGTGCACCCTCTTACCAGGCCCAGCTGATGTGTTGTTCCTCCACCACAGCCTATGTCTCTATCGGGACAGAATTCAGTTTGCTTCCCTGAAACAAGGCAGCAGGAGGAGAGAACAGCTTTTTAGTGTCTTTAATTTGGCAACAGGAAAAAACAAAGTCTGGCTGAAAACCACCACTTGAAGTTTGGTTGACGTCAGAAAAGCAGTGCTGGCTCTCAGTGCTCAGATAAGTGAGTCTTTGATGTCAAGGACACACTTGGGGGTTGGGAGGGAGCAGTCGCCCTCCCATTTACAGCCACCACTGTACACACCCTGTATGTCAGTCCCAAGCACACAACCCCTTTTCCTATGTAGATCTTTATTGCTGGAGACAGGTTTAAAAAATCCCATCTCTGTTGTGAAATGGGCAGAACGGGGCCTGGAAGTCATTCAGAACACAAATCTCTGGAGCCCCAAGGTGGCATTTTTACAGCCACCATCCTGCCTCTTGCGCACTGCAAGGCTTCCCTTGCTGCTGGCGGAAGCCCTTGCATATGTCACAGCTGGTGTTTTAACCTGCTTCCAATTAGCAACAAGAATTTTAAGGTATTTTGGAGCTGCTTAGTGGGAATTAAGAAGCCACCCACTTCGTCTGCATCAATAACCTTGAAGGTCTCTTGCACTTGTAAGATAGGACTTCCCTGGGCTTGGCACTGGCTGGTGATCCTCCCCCAGTCTTTACCCGCAAAGTCGCCACTATACAGGCACAGCTCACTTTGTTGCACTTGGAGATATGGTGTTTTTTTTTTTTTTTTTAAATCAAAGGTTTGTGGCCAGCTTTTGTGGACTAAATCTATTGGTGCAATTTTTCCAGCAGCACGTGCTCACATCCTGTCTGTCAGATTTCATTTGGCTGTGTACACTGTTACTTAGACATACTGTTGCACATTTAATAGACTACTGTTTGTGTAAAGGTAACTTTTATACGCTCTGGGAAACCAACAAATTCAGATGGCTTGCTTTAGTGCAACCTTCACTTTATTGTGGTGATCTGGAACAGAACCTGCAATAAATCTGAGGTGTGCCTGTATAAATCTAAAGCACCACTTTAGTTGACCCTCCCCACCAACCTTAATCATCCCACATGCCCACTCCAAAAGGAGAATTCTGGTGTCAAGGATCCACCTGATATCAGCAACTAGTTCAGTGGGCCCCATACAGACCACAGGAGCCTCACAAAAGACCCGTTTTTCACCTGCAATGACTTTGTAGTGGGTCCCCCCTAAACAGCTGCCCCAGAAATAGCTGCCACGAGCCCACTTTACCTCCAAAGCCATTACATAGGGCAAGAGCAGGAATCCCATCCGTTTTATGAGCTAGGTCCACTTCACCATGTCCTCTCAAGCCACCCCAAACCTGGGGTTTCAGAGAAACCCTAGGGCAGACTGGGTTAATTAAGGGTCTCCAAATATTGCCCCAGTGTTCACAGGGACACCCGTGGGGGACTCCCTGTCTCCCCCCAGAAGGTTTCCTCAGGCTTAAAAGTGCTTGCTGCCTTGCTGGGAGAAGATTAGTGTTCCACGAGGGTGTCTGCACCCCATGCTAAGGTAGGTCAAACCTGGGGAGAAGGTGGCGAAGCTCCATCTGGGATCTGCTTCTGGTGGTCTAATCAGGATGTGCTTCTTGGCTTCTGGAGAATTCAGTGGATGACCAACGGCCCTGTTAGGTCTGGGGTAAGTCTCAAAAACCGTGGAGCATAGCTACCAGATGCCCAGTGAAGGGCAACGGATCTCGAATGTCCCATTCCCCTACTGCCCACCTCCCATAGAACACCGCACCACAAGTAAAGCATTTCTGTTATTAAGGACAGGAAAGGCCAAATGGTTGATAATGTCCAGAGATGCCTGCTTTATTTCTTACTAAATGATTGTATTTCAGGCTGGTGACATCAGTAACAGTCTAATTGCCAACTAGATTTGTACCTACCTCTGAACTACAAATCAACAACCCAATAATTTGGCAAGGAGCAAATGGTATCAACAGCTAATTGGGGGAACTTAGTTTTCCAAATAAATGGCCTTGGTTGTCAGAGTGGTAAGTGGAGCTGCGGGTCAGGCCTGGGATTGTTTTAAAGACCCTGACACTTTACTGATGGCTGAAACCCTAGAGTCCCTAGGACAAAGCCCTCTGTCCCAAATCCTAAGAGCAGAGTTGTTTATTTTGAAGTTCAGTTCAGCACCAGTAAGGCGCTGAGCTACATGGCCCTAGGAAAGTGGAGCCAAGGGCATACTGACTGACAGGCCCCCTGTTCTCACTCCCACCCTAGGGCACAGCCTTTTCTGCAGGTCCTGCAGGGAAAAGCTAAACTTCAGGTAATTTCTTCTCTTTTTTTAGTTCTGCTTTGAAAAGAACAGGGAATGACGGGGGTAACCAAAAGTGGGTGTCGGTGCCTCAGAGGAGCACGGTGGCTCCAAGCCCACTGAGCAGGGCTGAGTCAGTTCTGTGCTGGTGACTTGTGCTACACTACAAACTCGGAGACAAGTCCATCTTCTTGAGAAGATGTCCACAGGGAAGAATTTATTAACAAAATTTCGGGATAGGAAGGGAGGTCCTTCTGAGAAGGCAGAAACTTGAAGAAGATCAAGGTCAAGCAAGTGATATAAGGAAGGAATGAGAGGCTCTTGTCACATGGTAGGAGCTCAATAAAAGCAAGCAATTACTATAGGAATCGTTTCCATAGCTACTTTTCTTACTAGAAAAGAACACAAGCTTCCTTTGAGGTCTGGAACTGACAAGCTGGTGCTTTTCCCTCACACAAGACAGCCTAAGTTACCTAGGAAAGGCTCTGAGCCGAGGCCATGAGGCCCCGGCCCTTTCCCTGCTCTGCCTGCACGCACGTGTTTCACTGAGCTGTCTCAGTGCGTGCTGACACCCGAGGCGGAGCCAGAGCACCAGCGCAGTATTCCTTTATGTTCACTTGGCAGGAGGACGTCAGGAACTAGTGACTGAGAGATGCAGTTCTGGCCAGATTATGCCAGCCCCGTGAATCCCAAGCAGAGTTTCCAAACATTGTGGGTTCTTCTGCTGCTGAGAAGATGTGCACCCTAGGGTGCTAACTGAGGAGGAGTTAATGCAGAAAACAAGGCACCACAGAGAGGTTGGACACTTGGGTTGTGTGATTCAGGACACGCTGGAAAAGCCCAAGGGTGGAGGGAAGGAAGGAGAAGAGGAGGAAGAGGAGACTGAGTTTTAAATAACGTCTCATGAGGCCAGAGTCCCACTAGATGGGCTCTGGTTTGAGCTTTTCTGCTAGGAAGTCATTCACAAAGGCCTCCACAATGGCAGGGGTGATCTCTTCCACGTCCATCACGTACTTGGCCCGGGCTGACATGTCCAGAATGGTGAGCAAAGGGGCAGCCTCGGGCAGGTTGGTGTAATCTCGCAGGGAGTCGGTCATGTCGTCCTGGAAATCAGCAGAAGAGGGAGAGAACCAGTAAGTTTTCAAGAATGAGGGTAGAGTTTCCCGGGCCCAGCTTCGCAGATGGCTTGCATCCTAAAGACTGCGCCGCCCTCCAGGGATGATGGGGTTTCAGAAAGGGACCCTGCTCTGGAGGGAGGGGGGGAGGAGGCCGTCTTCCTTCTGTATTACCCCAGGCCATCAGGTAAGTCATCTTTATTATCCTGAAAGCAAGTGTGATAAATCCTCTGCTTGGTATAATAACAGCTATCCTTTGATTACTTAAGTCTGCAATCAGCTCTCAATTATTTGTAGCCCTCTTGTGAATTATCTGAAGCCAGTCTGGGTTTCAGCTCTGGAATGTGTTTAAGCAGAAACAATTCAGTGGCCTCACTCCCACCCGCACCAGTGGTTTCAGGGGGGCAGAGTCCACGAGGAAGGTGAGGCAGTGAAAGCACTTCTAAGTCCACATGGCTTCACAACATTTATCATACACATCCAAATACCGTCTAGACCAAGTTCCTTAATATCAGATGTAACCTTTTCAAGTGTAAAGCAAACAGAAATTTGAAGACAAGGAGAAAGGACGTGTAAGGGAGCAACCATTAGAGATTACCTTTTATGCTTCTGACCCCCCACTGGTTAGATAAGAGAAAATGGACTCCATATAACCATGCCAAGAATGTCTCACTATAAGATAGTCTCACTGATTGAAAAGACCTGCAGTGGGCCTCCCTGGTGATACAAGGGATTAAAGTCTTAGCACTGTCAGGCTGTTGTCAGCCACTACAGCATGAGTTCGATCCCCAGCCAGGGAGCTGACCCACATGGTGCAGCAGACCTCTCCTGTCTCATCCGTTGCTCCCCTCAGCAGTCAACCCACCTATTTCTGCTCCTCACTCTGTCTCTGGTGAATTCTCTCACCCCTACATCTATAGCCTGCACCCCAGTTCTTGTATACATACATAAATAAAAGTAAATATTAAAAAAATTAAAAGTTAATGAAAAGACCTGCACAGAAAGGCATGGGTATGACTGGCCTTAAATGCTGGCTCACAGGAGGCATGAAATTTACAACTTGCCAGTTTCTGAGAAAATAAAAAAAACATTCCTTTCTTCAAAGGGTAAATCTTTGAGATTATTAGTAACCATTTCTCCCCCTCCAAATCCCCTTTCCTGAACAGCAGGCACTTTCCAGAATGCTGGGTGATTCAACCTCTTTGGCCCTGTTCACCTAATGCGGGCCCTTCATATGAGTTAGAGAACAATTTTCATGATAAGTAGAGGGGACATCTGGATAAATACTATACATACAGTTCCCATGAGGAAGCAGAGGCCAAGCTAAGTGCCTCACCCCCACCCCACACACACTTCTTCTGAGCAAAGCACAGGGATGAGCTTTGATGTCTACTAAGGCTTCAGTGGGATGACTTCTGCTGCTAAAGTGGACAGGACGAAGGCTGAGGTTCCCATTAGCCCTGGGAAGACTCGAAGCCCTTGAAGTCTGCGTGATGTCCAGGCCCTGTGCCTACCCCCATTCCCATGATGCCTCACTTCTGAACACAAGGACGGAGATCTGGACCAACAGTGTCCAAGCCAAAGCTTCAGGTATGCAGCGGGCAGGGGCAGTGAGGAGGGGAACCCGAGGAGAAAATGACACCAGCTGATCCATTCAACTTCCTGATCTGGGCCGCCTTTCCTCAAGCCCAAAGCCGAGTGCCACCTGCCAGCCCACATGGGCAGAAAGGGAGAGCACTGCAAATGGAATCCTGCTGGCCTCCCACTCAGGCTCTGCTACTTACTTAATGCGTGGGTTTTGTGAGGCACTTCCACTCAGGTCTCTCCCCCTGTGAAATGGGTTTCTTAACAGTTCCTGACACCAGGCGTGAGGCAGCCAGCACACACAGCCCAGCTGGCCAGTCTCACATCTGTCTCCTTTCCTCATCTGTGAAAGGGTACTAATTCCATTCTCAGCCAGAGAGGTGAAGAGCAAATGGGATTGTGCAGGTGAAGCCCTTGGCTGGGTGCCCAGTATATAGAAAACCTACAAATGCTCCTTTTCACTCACATTTCTATAGCAGTTACTGGAGCTCCAGCCCCTGCCCCGCCCCCACCCGGGCTGGGCCCTTTCCATTCCACACCCCTTTCTCTCAGAGCCAGTGGAAAGTGGTTAGAGTCGAATCAATTCAGAGCTGCCTCCCTGTGTGCTTTGTGTGGAGCAGCTTGGGGCCCCAAGGCCGGACCCTGTGAACCTGCTTTGTTCACTCTACCCCCAGGGCTGAGCAGGGTGACTTCAGCTGCCTGCCAGGGGCCTAGCGGGGGGTTAGCAGAGGGAGCTATTGAGGAGTGATGAATGGGTGGTTCAGGGTATCTGGCGGCCACTGCCTCTCCAGGGACCCGCACAGTGTGAAATGAGCATAGGCTCTGACCAACTGGAGGAGATACAGACGGGTGGAAGGAGCAGCGTGGGGCGGAGAGAAGGAGGGGGCAGGGGCACGGGTGGTCTTCAAAAACTATGTCTGAATAACCAGCTTATGGCTGATTCGGGTGGGTGAGGGGGGCGAAGGAGCATGCGTGGAGATGGCTCCGGTGGTGGGGCTGTGACAGTGTGCCTGCGTGGACAACGGCCATCTTGCAGACTCCAGTGTCTGCAGGGTGGAGGGTGGCTCCTACCAGAGGTGGCTGAATGGAAGGGCCCGGCATTCTCACTCGGAAAAGGCCCCTTGGACTGGCCCCGGCGGAGGCCCTCCAGGGATAGGCCTTGGGTGAAACAGGGATGTCAGTGCTCTCCCTGGATAGACTGGTTAACTGCACGTAGGAGCTGTGGTACCCAGCGCCCCCTCCCTGCAGGGGAAAAGCCCATTTTGCAGGCTGGGAAGAACTACCAAGCAGACAGGCTCTGGTAAAGCACCAAGGGCCTGGTTTTGGATCCAGTTTTAGGGGGATAAGTGTTGCTGCAGCTGTCCCCAGTAGTCTGGGAGGTTGCTGAGCACTTAGGGGTGAGGGTGAAGAGAAGGGAGGGGTTCCTGGGAGGATAGCCTGCTGTTCTGAGGCTGGTGAGTGAGGAAAACAGAAGTGTTAGGGGGAGAGGATGTCCTGATGGAGCTTTGTGGACTCCACCCCCTATACCAGTTTTGTGGACTCTACCCCTATTCCAGAAAACTACAATTCCCAGCAATACCACAGAGAGAACTGTGAGGACCCAGGGGTGGAGCTAAGCAGGCATTCTGGGTATATAAGGGAGCCATGTTAGCCGCTCTCGCTGTCTGGACCGTGTGGCTGGTGGCTGGTCGCTGGGCTCTTGATGAGCTTGCAGTGTGTTTCAAGTCAGCGGAGCTGGTAGGTAGGAGGTTCTGGTTAACTTGTTTCTCTCTCTCTCTCTTTCCCTGGATTGTTCATTTTCTTTCCCCTTGTAAATAAACCTATTATTGACCCTTTTTGTGTGTGCCTGCAGTACAACTGAATCTTAAGCGCACGGGTGAGGACCCACAGACAGGCAACCCAGTTCACATTGGGGTGCCCTGTAACAGAAGGAAGCAGCAGGGGCAGACAATGGCTTTCCATGACTGGTGACAGACCTTTCTCGTCACACTTGTCTGCAGGCTCTTCCAGAAGCACAGTCACCCCAGACCCCAGGCCCTTTCAGACATCCCCAAGGGCCCATCTCATGCCCTAGGAAGCAGCCAGCTGAGTCAATACCCATGGCAATACTCACCTCCCCTGCCACAAAGAATAAAAGCGGCGCCTCCTCCTCTTTGGCTTTGTACTTGGCAATTATCTTCTCAGCTATTGGCTGGATCAGTTGCTTGGCGGCCTCGGACTCCCCGTCATCCTCAGAATCTGTGAGGGGGGAAGAGAAAGATTCAAAGAGCAGTGGCTGGTCACAGTGGCACCCTCTGAGGGACCCTGGGGCCAGGGCCTGAAATGCTCATCTGGACAGCCCCTTAATGGCAAGAGGGCTTCCCCTGGTGGGAAACAGGCCACGGGCCTCACCTCCTGGGTGCATGAGGGCGCTGTGCAGGCGTGCACTCACGTGCTGCCGGCACATCTGGCTCCCGCTCTATCTCCCCGGGAACAACTCGCCTCACTGAACAGCACTGATGCCCCAGGCGGAACGGCCATTTTCACTGAATTCCTCACAAGCTGAGCTTACCCTAAGCCAGGACCTGAGGTTGCCAGTTTCTCTCCGTCACAGCAGGAGATACCATGACCTCAGATTTATGGCTTTCTAGTCGAACTGGCACAGTTGGTGGTAGTGGGGAGGCATCGGGGCTACTGGAAACCAAACTGACAGTCAGAATGGCCTAGGAAGGGGTGACTACTGCAGGGTGGGGGGTGGAGGGGAGTTGGGTGCAGACAGTCCACCGGGCGACCAGGCTCCTGAGAGCCCCCTCAGGCATCTCTTATCCCAGTGCAACAGGACCCTCGGGCTTACTCCTGCTGCAACTGTCACCAAAGCTAGAGAAACACCTCTAAGTGGTAGCTGAGGGGAGGAAAGAGCAGGCGCAGCAGGGAGCCTTCACCCAGGAATGCCACTGCCCAGAGGCCCGCAGCATGCAGAGCGTAGCATGCACGCTCTTCTAACAGCTGTGTGATGCTGGGAACCCTCTGGGACCCGGTTTCTACATCTGCCTCGGGTCAGTGAGTTTCCCAACTGTCCCTGGATCCAGAATTGTTCCCCAGGGGCCTCAGACCATGGCTGTGTGGGACTGCAGCAGGCAGGGAGGCCCCAAGGTGAATGAGCTCCCAAGGCCATCTCTCCCCAAGGGACCCATCTCCTACCCTAGGCTCCTGATAATGGCTCCTGCCACACCAGGTATGTGGAGGTCGCCCAAGGGACCTCTGTCCTCTATAAACACGGGACAGCCTATGTGTATGGAACAGCTTACAGAAGAACTGTCCTTGAATCTGCATACTAGTTCTCTTGGGGGGGGGGAAAGAAGGGGCAACTGAAACTTAAGCACAGAACCCCACCCTCCTCAGTGAAGTGATCTTTGTGATCCTAGTGCCCAAAGTCATTTTGAGTTGGAAGAAAGAAACGCATCCCAAGGCAGAGGGCACAGTGGCCTTGAGCAGCAAGTGCTCCATTTGCAAAAGGAACCAGGCTCAACCCACATGGCTTGAGGCTCCTAAGTCCTCCTGCTGGGCCAAGCATGGTCACCACTGTGTGCCTGTGTGACAACGCCTGAGGCGCTAGGTCACAGCGATGTCGATGTCGTCCTGGAGCTGGGACTGGCAGAACTGCCCCCGGGGGCAGTTGAACAGAGCACAGGTGATGGGAACAGCAGGGTGAGCCTTGGCTGAGGGGCCCAGCCCAGCAGCTGCTTTGCAGCTCCGCCTCCTCCCAACAAAGGGTCTGTTCATCAGGGGGACTGAGGGCATCCTCCGGCCTGACCTATTCTTCCCAGCTGGCAGCTGGGAGCAGCTAGGAGGGAAAGCACAGCAGCAGCTCCCAGAATACCTCCCACAGGGGGCAGAGCCATGAATAAATCATTGGGGTCAAAAGCAAGGCTGCAGGAGGGAGACAAAGCCCCAAGCTCTGCATTGTTGTGACAGAAAGAAGCTGTGGGACAGACACCTCTGTCTGGAACCTGTCCTGTCCCAGTCCCCCCACTGTGCCCTCTGCTCTTTTCCATACCTACAAAGAGGACGAGGCAGGGACCTTCATTGAGCTGCACAGCATTGGAGTCAGAGAGCTCCAGCACGGGCTTGGGGTGCCATGGGAACCCCCTGCAGTCCTCGTCATTCAGCACCTCCACCCGTCCCTGCCTCGTGATCACTTCTCCCTGTGGGTCCAGCACGATGAGAGTGGGGATGCCTGCAAGAGAGAGCACACACTATTGGCCACCCCCAGGAGAGGCCAGCCCCCGCAGCGGGCCAGCTTCCACCAGTTCGCAGAGACTCAGGAGGTGATAAGGAGACCTGGGATGGGACCCAGCCTCAGCCACCAAAGAGCCACCGACCTGGTGGGGCCGCAGGCCACTTCTCCAAGGAACCCTGAGCCAGTCACTGCCCCTCTGGGGCTCATGATCGTTTACTGCAGTGCACTGGTGAATGTACTACAGTTCCTGCCTTACCCACAAAGTAAAGATCAAGGGGTCATGCATCTACAGAACTCAGCACCAGGTCTTGGCATCCAGAAGCGGTTGGTATGTATTGGCATCCTAAAGAGATCCCAAAGAAGCAGGAGACAATCCCTCCATCTGTAATCTAAAACCTACCAGAGAGAGTGTAAGAACTTTCCCTCCCACTTGGGGTACTTGCTATAGACACACGCCAGCACAGACTCATGGGAGGGCCCCACCAGAGTGAGCACAAGAGCCTGTGGGGGAAGGAGCCAGGGGCCAGGAAGCAGCAGGACGGCTGGCTGCTAACGGGCACCCCATTCCCTTACCTGAAGAGGTTCTCACAGCTGCCCTCTGAGGGGGGCGAGCCCTGAGGAAGCATGCAGATAGCACTACAGAGGGACACATTAGTGTTCTGAGCTAGGGTAAGAGATGCAACCAGAGTTCTCTTCAAAACTGCCCTGCTCCCCCCCGCCCCCAATAAAGTCTCAGAAGAGCAATGAGAGCAAACCCGGTCTTGGGTTACCATCTTGTTTGGGTTTCCCATCTGTGCTCTTTGCACCCCGCCCTCCCGGCTGCTTCAGCCCCATGAACAGCAGCTCATAGAGGCAGCTTCAGTCCTGCCCTCTGGGGACACTTGTCTCTCCACTGGCAGCCAGGCCTCTACCTCCTCACATTAATCAGCTGCGTCTCCTCTGGAGCTGACCAGAGCTTTAATTTTATATGGGCCAGAAAAAGCCAGGGTGATTTAATATTTATGGATTCCAAAGCATTCTGTCGGTAATTTGCTCCACTGACATTTTACTTCTCCGTGGGGGGGACATCGAGGTACCAGAAATATGGCCCCGGTGATTGTTACCTGCCATGCTGGCCAGCGCAGCAGGCGTGTGGCATGCAGTGTGGGCCTGTCTTCAAAAGGGAAAATGAATCCATTATGTTCACAACCATCAGGAGTGACTTGGTGTGTTAAGTAACAGGTCCAGATGGAAATGGGCTCTAGGACTGCCATTCCCACCACCACACACACAAGGCATGCAGGCAGGACTTCTCAGGGCTGGACAGACGTGTTAGAGCCGTTTCAGGCCTTCCAAGACTCAGGGTATTTCCAGTCCCATCCTTATCCCTGCCCCTGCATGTTTTCCCCAAAGGCCCAGGCTCACCTCAGCTGTGTCCCCATTGCTGAGGATCAGGCTGGGGCTGGGGCTGGGGCTGGGGCTGGGGCTGGGGCTGGGGCTGAGTGGGGCCGGGGCCGGGGCCGGGGCCGGGGCCGTGACAGGCCAGCCAGCAGCCGATGAGCACTCCCCATTGCCGCTACCATCAGAAAAGTGCTCTGGCGAAGTGCTTTAGTCAGAGCCGGTGAGTGTCTGACACTGGGCCATTACGAGCACGGGTTAAACCAGGGCACCCCCACTGCTATGACCAGACACAGCAGCAGGAGGCCTGTTTGGAGGCCAGATATGGGGTGCCGACTGTGATTAGGGGGGGTCAAGTAGGCAGTGAGGAAGAGAAGACAGGAAGAGTAAAAATCTTGATGGCAAAGCAGTCCACTTTCTGATTTGGTGCCTCAGTTTCTCCAGGGGACTACCTGGAAGGGCTGTGTTACCATGGCTACAGCCCATGGAGACCAGAATTGCAGACAGGTGACATGGAGGAATACTCGGCTTATGTTGCCAATGAACAGCAACCCTGGGGTCTTCCCCACCTTTCCCCATGGCTTTGGAACCAAAGTCCTGCTGTGTTTGGTGCTGAGTGAAGCAGCTTTCTAAGAACCCATAATAATGAGATACATGTAGCTGTGGTGCTTAAATAGAGAGCACCATACTTGGTAAAATAAACAGTCAGATTTTGAGCTAAAGAAGCCCTTTTCTGGCACAGGGACAGGATATGTGGGGAGGAAGGGAATGGAGAGAGAGTCTGCATGCATATGCCAGGTCCCCTTTCCACCTGCTGGTGGTGGGTTAGCTTGGTCCCAGAGCGCTGGGTATGTGCTTCCCTTCAAGGGTGTACCAGGGATGAGAGGGGAGCTGGCCTTCCATTGCATCTGCTCTGCGCTGGGCCTGGCACACACGCTTTCTCGCCTGTTCCTCCTAGCAGATGGTGGTGGGAAGCATGTAATGTTCTTTTTTGCTTTCAGTCAAGTTACCCGGCCAAGGTCATCTGGCGAGTAAGTAGCCAAGCTGGGACAGGAACTCCAGTCTGCTGCTGCTCTTTTCGACCAGGCCACCAGCTGGTGGTGGGCTCTCGAAGCTCCTCGGCTGGGGCCTGTGTCTGCAGCCCACTGCTCCAGCTAGTCCCTCTCTCTTCTTTTCCAAGACCGAGGGGAAGAGACTGACATTATGATCGGCTCTTCCTTTCCTCCCCACATCCTGCATTCCCTGCTCGCCCCTTCCCTTGAAGCAGGTCCCCTAAAGCAGACACTTCTAAGGAAAAAATAGGGCAAAGCCTCTAAAGCGAAACTTAAAGGGAATGGAAAATTTCTAATCGATGCTTTACTACAAGATCACTTCCACACCAGTGAGAGGCTTCCCTGAAGGGGGTGGGAAGGGAGCAGGTCTATTCAAGTGTGCTTGAACCTGTGGCTTCCCAGCTTAGCTGGCTGGCAGGGACAGGGGAGCACGATGGAAATTCCAAGAATGATCCAGGCGGTCACAACTTCTTGGGGCCTTGTTCCCACAGCTGCCAAATGGGGAGCATGGTGGTTTTCTGTTTGTTTGTTTGTTCCTCACAGAGAACTGGGGTGTAGGCCAGGGCTACAAGGGGGTGAGAAGCTTCACCAGAGACAGAGTGGGTAACAGAAGAGGCGGATCCACTGAAATACACTGCTGAGGGGAGCAGTGGGCGAGACGGGAGAGGTCTGCTGTGCCATATGTATGTTACCTCCCTGGCTGGGGATCGAACTCAGGCCTTGGTGTGATAGTGCTGAGACGCTAACCCCTAGGCCATAAGGGAGGCCTATTTACTTGTTGTGAGGACAAGATGGCAAGCATAAAATGCTTCTTCAGAGTACCTGGTATAAAATACTCCACAAATATTAGCTCTTGTTCCTAATAAGTTCATTGGCTTTTTTTTTTTTTAATCATCCCTCAGTTGATTATTTGGCCATGAGAGAAAAGAGACCTAGAACTGCTGCCTTGCTCTGGTAAGATAAACAAAAACCTCCAGGGTGGCTAGAAGAAGTTAGCTGCAGAATCGGAGTAGAGAGACACCGTTAGCTCCACAGCCAGAGCACCAGTGAGTGATTCTGCCAGGAGTGGGGTTGGCATTCTTTTACTTTCACCAGCTTAACTTTTGGGCCTAAAACATGGACTTTCTGGTCCTAGAGTGGACCTCGGCCCCAAGCCCCCTGCCCTGACTAAGCAGTAGACCTACAAGCATTGCTGAAGAATCACCTTCACCATTTCCCTCAAAAGCTGGTGAGGAAGGAGCAGGGAGGCTGGCTCCACACCATTTCCTCTTGGGAAGAGCCTGCTTGTGAGTAATCAAGGACACCTCAAAGTTGCCTGCAGTTTTGGATAGTTGCTTTTCTATGGCCAAGGAAACAGCATTTCAAAGGGGGTGGCTTGATGGCAGGGGCCCTAGGGTGGAGACGCTCAGGTCTTGTAGCCCTCCTCCTGGCGGAGGAGCTGGGCAGGGCTGGAATCCAGAGAGCTTCTTTCTCTGCATCTAGATGGCAATTTGGTCTGAGGGTACTGGGATTAGAGACTCAAGACTGCTGGCAATTGGGGAGAGAAATGGGAGGAAAAGCGGACCCTAAGACAGCAACAGCAGGTGAGGGCACATCAGCAAGGCAAAATATTACGGAATCTCAAGTGTGGACTGTGGTATAAATGGAAAATGACTGTAGTACACTGTTACACAGAAAGTGGAGGAGACAGTCTGAATGATTTCACAACTATATGTGAGTATGTGTGCGTGTGGACAGAGACCAAAAGGGGCTAAGGAAAGTGAAAACAGTTGTGCTAGTGAGGTAGGAATGTGGGTGGAAATAGATATGTTTGAGTTTTTTTTAATGGAGTCATGATCAGTATATTAATATAAAATAAAAGCCAAACAAGAACCGAAGAGCAGTAGAGGTAGGGATGACAAATATAATCCATGCGCTGGCCATGTCAATTGCCACTCCATTCATCAGGCCCCCGTTTCCTCCCCTGCGCATTCCCCCAAGACCTCCCCTTGTTTCAAAAGCTAAGGAAAGGAAGACAGAAGCTTGGTTTGGGTGGTGAAGCGCAGAGAAGCCCAAGGGAGGTCAAAGAAATGGGTCTGGGTCTACTTGCCCTGAGGAGGCCCGAAAGCCTCATCAGGTGAGGCGCTCAGAGACACTTACAGTAATGTCTCTATAATACAGAAAATTCAGAAACAACCAGAGACCACCGAAAGCCGAGCTGATAAATAAGCTGTCGCAGGATCAGTCAATGAAAGCTTTTTTGGCACTGAAAATAAACTAACCAGATACAAATATCAACAGGGATAAATCTTGAAAAACAAAATGGTGAGGGAGAAGCGCAAGCTAGCGAATGATATTACACCATGTCAGCATTTAAGTATGCTTCCAGAAAGCACACCCAGCACTGCAATGTATTATTCATGGATTCATATATATGCCGTACAAATATGAAGCCAGACTATGAGGATACACATGAAATATACCATAGGTGTCTGGAGGGGGCGTCCAGAAGGAAGGAGACCACAGTGCAGAGATGTGAGGGGGCCTCACCTCTATCTGTAATTAATGCTCCCTTTTGTTTCTATTTTA